CCCCGCCCAAGCCCGAGGGTCTTCAGGCCGGTCCTCTTTTTGTGTAACCACAGCCCTGGGGCAGGTGTCAGTTCCCTGTTTCACAGAGAAGGAAACCGAGGACCGGAGGTTGTCGCTTGTCTCAGCCTCGTAATCGTGCATCTCTGGGCCTGTTTCACCCACCTGTAAACGGGGTGGACACAGCACGTACTCTGTAAGGTTAGAGCTGACCCTCGAACATGGGTCTGAATCGTGCGGGTCCGCTAAGACGTGGGTTTTTCCAACAGTAACTACTACAGGATCACCCTGTCCCTGGTTGGTTGAATCACAAATACAGAGAACCGAGGGCCTCCTGTAAGTCCTAAGTGGGCTTCCGACTGCCCCTAACACCCTCCCCTCGAGCCACGGTCAAGGATCCACGGCAGAGGGTCTAAACGAGATCAACAGGTGACACGCAGAGCAGCCCTGCATTCTGTGCTTCTGAAACACCGGCAGCTGTCAGCCGCCCTGCAAGGGCAGCTTCCCCCATCGCCGTTAGCCGTTCCCTTCGGGCAGTGGGCACTCAACCCAGAACCAATTTCTCTCGTAACATCCCCAGAGCCACCGCACTGTTTCTCATCCCCTACTAGACTGGCTCCTTGGGGAAGGGGCCAAGCCCCTTGCACCCGGCAATGGCCTTGCATGTGAGAGGCTTGATGTTTGCTGAAACACAATGGAAACAGAGGAGCCAGGAATCGGCTGTGTTACCATCTCCTTAGTGGCCACAGGTCCACCGGGTTAGTGTCTTCCACGGGACAGGCCTTTAACCTTCCAGAGCGATGTCCTGTCTGCCCAAGTCCCCCAACCCTTCCAGCTTCTTTCCTCGACATGATCCAGGTCGTCCACCTGGCCTTCCCCTTGCAGATGGGCCTCCTCTGTCACATAGAGTCCTCGACGGGACAGCGGGCACCAGGCCCGCTGCCAGGCACAGGAAGGTCGAGGTGGCCATACATGACGCTCTGGACGCTGTGCTACGACCCCAGGCCTTCGTCTATACTGGGGTTTTGCAGAGATGCGTGAATAGCTCCTGGCATCACAGACACTCAGTACTGGCATGGGATTGTGCAACAGCGGTGCTTTGGAATCCTTGGCTTTTTTCATGGATGCTCTTGTCAATCCGCATCTTTGAAAACCTTACATAGAGATTCTGCCCACTTTTTGCAGCTTGTAGAGATGTTTGGACCCTATCTGAGAATAGGATCAGTGCCTCCCCCACCCCCAACCCCGCCCTTGTCTAGGACCTATTTCTTCTGTAAATGGCCTCAAACCCTCTTCTGGAAGGTAAGGCATAAAAAACCCTCATCAGCCACTTACATCAAAGGAGGGCTGAGGACAGAGTGCCCTGGGGCACACCATAAACCACCCGATGGGTTAATCTGCAGAGAGCTGGTGGACAGTTACCCACTTTTGATTTCACCGTGTCCAGATTTCATCTGGTATGTTATTAAAACTAGACACTGAGGCCAGTTTGACATCACTCGCTCTTTTACACTTTAGCGTGCTCCCCTGGCAGCCGCGCTCGAAGGTCAGGGGCGTGTGCTCCTCGGCTTCCTTTCCCGCCTGTGCGCTTTCGTACCCGTGCGCTTCTCTCCACTGAGAGCTCTGTGAAGCCCTGGGCGAGGCCCTGGTGTCCTAGCCGCTGTTCTTCAGGGTCAGGGGACCTGAAGGATCTCAGAACAGCCAAGGGCTCTTATTCTCCAACGATCTGATCTTGAACTGCAACTCCTTGCAAACAGGTAGCCCCACCCTTTCCATACTGGAGCTAGCTCTTTGGCCAAAAAGAAAGACAACAGAGGAGGAGCTAGAGAGTAACTTTTTGTCAGTCCGCCGGGCCTCCAGCAGGTCTTTTTCACCTCCTGCCCTGACAACGGACGTAGTCTCTGAACTCTCTTCCTCAAGGATAGAATGGAAACGTCTAGTGGGAAGCAGCTGTCGAGGTAAACGGGATACGTGTGTGAAAACGCTCTGGGAAGCACGAGGAAGCGCCTCCACGCCGAGGGTTGCCTCTGCTCTCGCCCACAGCGCTAAGTCTGTGGGGTGGGGGTAGCCCCCTAAATGCTGCCGCGACCCTTTCCTTCAGGACTCAAGTTCTGAGGCAGGAGGCCCGGTCCTCCCCAAAACCAGCGAGAGGAAAGCAGGAGGAAAGGACCTCGCTGGAGGATCACTCCGGCACTGGATGCACACCGGCCACTGTGTGGGGGCCCCGCGCCTCCCATGCTGCTGGCACGAGACCACTCCTCTGTGCCTATCCGGGACATCCTGGCCTGGTGGACCTTCAGCACCAAGCCCTGCCAACAGACCTACAACGGTGGGGTGAGTCTCTGAGTACCAGTGGCCAGACGTGCCGTCATCTCCCCAGAATCATGGGGGGAGGAGCAGTGGTCAGAGGCAGCATGAGCCCAGGGCCTGGCTCGCAGCCCCGGGAACACACACACACACCACCGCCCTCCCAGGCTTTCCACTGCAGGTGGGGGGCAGTGACCAGCAGGGACACCTAGTGGCAACAAGTCCCGAGGCTCCCAAGGCAGCCCCGCAGAATCAATGCCCACGGGGGGGTGGTCTTTCCTTGAGAGAGTTAAATTCAGTTTATATTCTGTTTTCCCGCTGAGACCACCACCCTAAAGGAATACTCTGCAGCTATTAAAAATGGGGCGCTGGGTGTGGGCAGTACCAAAAAAGGGGCTGCTGGGCTAATTCACCTTCCTCCTCCTGATTTCTTATCCTCATTCACTTTTGAGCCCACCACAGACGATTGATTCCCAACTAGGAGAATCAATCATTTCCTTTAGGTCAGCTAAAACACACAAGGGTGTCTACTACATGGCTCTACCTAAGCCTTTCCCCTCATTTTAATTTTCCTTCTAAAAGGAATAGAAGGCAGAGGTGCTGAGACACCTTATACCATGCAGACTAAATTCATTTGTAAAGATTACTTTACTCTCCTAGAAAAATACACATTGCAAATTTGAGGGCTACAACTTACCCACCTTAGAGAATTCCTGAGGGAGAGGGGGAGCCTCTGAATATCAGACTGTGTGGGGATGTGTGTGAGAGGCATGTTAAATATGGTTGGGTCAGGTGGACTTTTTAAAAAAAATCTGTTTTTCCCCCATTTTTTTTTTTTTTTTTTCTAAAAAAGGAAAACCAAATTGCCATCTGTCTGGCTTATCCCGTGTGCGTGCATGTATACAGAGGAACAGCGTCGGGGAGGGGCTGTGTCATGCAACGAGGCAAAACCAAGTTGACCTCCTTCGACGGGGAGTCTCAGTGCCGTAGGAGGAACGGGGGGGGGGGGGGGGGGGGCAGAGAAACACCACTGTCTCCCGAGGGTATTCCTATCTGAACACGTCAGATGTCCCGTGAAAGGAAACAGGTCCACTTTAGAATATGAACGGTCGTGACTTCCGGTGCTCCTCAGGCGAGGCCAAATAATCCACGAACACGTAAAACCCTTCTGGGCACTATGTTTCTGGCCCGGCCAGCAGAGGACTCTAGGAGCAGAGGTGGGCACAGCTGGGGACAAAAAGGTTCCAGAGACGGGCTTCTTCAGGGTACTTTGGGAAATGTCCTTTGTTCCAGCATCCCTAGGTGATGGCACTGGTGAGCCTGGTCTGTACTGTCAGTGTCACTCTGCAGAGGCCGCTCCCGGCTGAGAAGAAAGTGCATCTCGAGGCCAGTGAGGGCCGCAAAACGGTGTGCGTTGGGGCCGGAGGACCATTTCAGATGCCAATGGTCTGCAGAACCCGCCTTTCGTGGTCGTTGAGGTGGCCTGAGAACACCACGTAGCAGGGCTGCTGAGCAAACTGGCAGAGGAAGTCCGTGAGGTACGCCTGGAGGAACGAGGAGGGAGGCGTCTCTGAGGGCGGGAACCACTGGCCTTCACACTAGTGCCAGTGCCCCGAGGGATGCTTGCCCGTTCTTGGCTCTAGGGAAGGTTCAACCCAGAGACTGAATTCCACAGGGATTTCCCAAGACCACACCTTGCGATCCAGGGCTAGGACTTTGACGACACAGCCCCAGGAAGCTGGATTCCAGCACGGGGCAGAGGCAGGAAGCCCCTGGGTGCAGAGTCCCCGCCCTCCCCCAGCCCTGCCCACCGGGCGAGACGAGGCCCAGCCGCAATGGTGCTGAGCCACGGCTGCTGGTGAGACACCGTCTCTGGACACCCTCACCTGCAGATCGACCTGATAGAGAGGGTCTTTCAGGGCATCAGGGTCGTCTTCCTCATCATCCTCATAGTAATCCTCCTCTGGAAAGACACCAAGCCAGGGAGGGTCAGGGCGCACAGGCCCCGGGGGGCAGGCAGCACCCACACGGCTGAGGTCAAGGGGTACACAAGCCCAAGGGACGTTCCCCGGGCGCCCCGCTCTTGGTGCCGGCGTGCGCAGGGCTGGCCTCGACGCTCACCGTATTTACTCGTGGCGAGAATATCGGACAAGAGCTGGCCTGCCAGGCCGTCCTCCTCATCGTCGTCGTCCTCCTCCTGGTCGTCCCACATGTCGCTGGAGTCATCTGCACGGGGCCGAGAAGCAGCTGCAGCACGCGCACGCGTCTCCCTCCCACACCCAGACCGGCCGGGACACAGAAGCCCCGCGGGCCCCAGCGGTAGAGGACCAGGCCAGATCTCCCCACCAAGTCCAACTGGGAAAACTAAGCGTGCTGGTGGGGAGAGAACAGGCCGAGAGGCTCTGCGGGACAATCGGAGCCGGAAGCACTGGCCTCCTGGCCACCCCCGAGGCGCTGCAGGCAGACCCTGGAGATCAGCCTGGGCGGAGGGGACTCCGCCAGCCGGCCAGCGATCTGCAAGCCCGGGGCCTGGCTGCCAACTCAGCCTCCGGGGAGGGCGGACACCTTGGCTCCAGTCTGCGGGGGCGGCCTGGCGCGCGGCGTTGGCCTCCGTGACGCTGGACAGCTCGCTGATGATCAGCTTCAGGATCTTGACCAGCAGGGGGACGCTGGTCCAGCGCTCAGGGTCTGGAAGGAGGAGGAGGCTCCACGTCCCACCGTCCCTGGGCCGCTGCCCCGCGAGGCAGCACCCCCGCCCCACCCGCGCTCTCCACTGCCCAGCCTGAGGCACGACGGAAAATTAAATAGCTTCATTCTGTGCCACGCTACAGGAGTTTAGAAGTCAGGAGAGATGAGAGATTTCAGGGACCAAAGGAGACAGGCTTTGCCAGTAAAAAAGCCTGCAAACCAGCGACCTGCACAGGGTGGAGCACTCCGGGCCCTGGGACTTGCAGTTTGAGAAACAGCACAGGTGAGCGCAAACCTGCAGTTAAAGAAGGCAGCTCCAGGGCTTCCCTGGTGGCGCAGTGGCTGGGAGGCCGCCTGCCGATGCAGTGGACGCGGGTTCGTGCCCCGGTCCGGGAGGGTCCCGAATGCCGCCGAGCGACTAAGCCTGTGATCCACAACTACCGAGCCTGCACTCTAGAGCCTGCGAGCCGCAACTACTGAGCCTGCGCTCCGCAACAAGAGAAGCCACCGCAGTGAGAAGCCCGTGCACCCCGCAACCAGAGAAAGCCTGCGTGCAGCAACCAAGACCCAATGCAGAAGAAATAAATTTAAAAAAAAAGGGTTAAGATGGTAAATTTAAAAAAAAAAAGAAAGAAGGCAGCTCTGCACTCTGCCCACACATCACCAGAGTCATGGGCCAAAGGCAATCAGACACAAAGACACTAGAAGCGGGTATCCAAGGCCCAGAATGAAGCTGGATGCTGGGGACCCCAGTACCTGGGACTCCTGTCCCCTTGCAGCAGCAGAAGGACCCATACGCTCTGCTCCACTGTTCACCTGGGGTCTTCTGCCGCTTCTTATCAAAGCCATCGCTAACAATCGTGTCTTAACCGCCTCCCAGCCCAGGTGCCCTGAGCCCCGGGGGTGGGGGGTGCGGGGCTGGCGGTGCGTGTGTGTGAAGGGAGCAGCATCACCCACTCTTGGCCGACTTGGAGCGGGTGCGGGTGCCCTCGTCCAGGCTGTGGATCTCCTCCCCCTTCACGCGGATGTCCTGCAGCCGCTTGTCATCCGCGTTGATGCCGTGCTGGAGCAGCTTACACAGCGCCACAGAGCTGGCGAGGAAGAGCCAGAGAGGGCCGATCAGCTGCCCCCTCGGAGTGCACCCCAAGGAGACAGGCAGGTACGTCCCGACACTTGGAGGGCGCCAGTGCTTTCACAACTAATTAGGGCACAGAAGAGAGTCTGTCTGAAAAGGGGATCTCGTGTTCCTACGGACGGACGGTCGGATGAGAGCTGTCCTTGAACAAAGCCGGGGTGGGTGAGCAGCACGACGACGTCTGCACCAAAGGGAGTGTGGGGTGACGAGATGCCGCGGACAGAGCCCGGGATAAAAAGTCAGACAGCTGGGTTTGTGAAGAGGAAGCCGCCAGCAGCACTTGGCTGGTGAAGGTGCGGGCAGGGGAGGGTCTCTAGCCAGCAGAGATCAAAAACACACACTCTACCCGCGACCACTATCTTCTGGGAATTTCAAGAGGGCAGCTACTTGAATATACAGTTTAGCCAGAAAGAAACAGAGGGAAGAGGAGCGCACGGGCAGCTGGGTAGCTCGAGTCAGGGCAAGGCCCCACCTGACTTTGCCCTCGTACTGCCCATAGAAGAGGTGCTGGCGGCTGGTCCACTCGGCCATCACGAACTCCAGGGCAGGCTTGCCGGTGGGCCCCGGGAGGCTGCACAGGAACTCCAGGAGGGGCTCCAGCTGGGTGTGCACCAGGTGGGCGAACACCATGATCAGGGACTGGGGGCACAGGAGGACACCTGCTTCAGGGACTCAGGCAGCCAGGCAGGAAACAGAGGGCAGCGTGGCCGGTCCCTCGCCAGCGTCTCTGGGGCTGGGGCCGTCCTACCTGCATGACGCTGAGCGTCTCCGCCTGCTGCATCTTGCTGAGAATGGCGCGGAGAATCTGGTCCAGGTTCTCCCCCAGCTCCCGCCCCGCCTTGGAGATGAGGGTGGACACGAGGCGGCCCACAAAGGCGGCAGTGAACTCGGAGGTGCGGGGGTCCAGGAGCTGGCTCACCACCTGCATCACGTACCACAGCCCATTGTGGCCCTGCTCGTCATGCCACTGGGCCACCTGCTCCAGCGTCACTGACACATAGGCCCGCAGGCACTCACCACCGTTCTGGGAGACAAGGGAGGGGACTAGGTCAGCCGCGGCCACACAAGGCCTCCGTCTGCAGGGTCTGGGGGGCTCATCCCGCCGGAGCTGGGGCCGCGCCGTTGCAGACACAGGTGTGCACCACCCTGTCTCTGCTGTGCCGCATCGGCTAGCTCAGAAACGCGCGCTTCTCATCAAAGGGAGAATGGACACGCTAACGGAGTTTCAACCGTAAAGCTCTACCTCTGGTACTGAGAAAACAGAGCTAAGACACAGCAGTAACTGGGGGGACTGCAGGTCTCTGTGAGAATAAAGCAGACCTCACACCAACCACGCTGCCTACAGATCTCCAAAGGCTGGTCCCTTTGCTGACTTCATTAGTCTGTACGTCTATAATCTCTTCCGCCGCAGCAACACCTGGACACAGATAGTAGGATGACTGGCACTCACACCTCTGAGACGCACAGAATGTCTTGGTTTTAGCAGTCGGAACCCTTCCTGGGTCCTCTGGGTAAATACAGATTTGAGGGGTTTCTATCTCAAAGGCAGGAAATGGTTTCCAACTTCTCAGCCTGCTGCACATGCACCGCAGCTCAGACACCTGCGTGGTGATACCTGCACGGAGATACCTGCATGGTGGCGTTGTCGTCCGTGTGGAGGGTGCACTGGGCCACAGCAGGGAAAGCCTGGCAGATAAGCAGCTGGGAGAGGGGGGGCTTCGTGTTCCGCACGACCGTGGTCAGGATGTCAATGGCCGTCTGTAGGAGAGAAGTCAGGCTTGCCTCTGGGGTGGGCGGAGGGGGCCCAACAACAAGATCCTTACTGTGCGGAGCCCACCCACCAACCCAGAGACACTCATAATGAAAGGCACGTTTCTGGAAGAGGAAGGCAGCAGAGGGTACTCTCAGTCTCCTGGCGGCAGCTCATCACTTGAGAAGCCACGGGGGTGGGCGGGAGCGGAGGTTGACTGGACAGCCAGGGACAGTGTCATCACGGGACTGTCCAATCACCGAGGGCACCTTGGGAACAAGAGCTCCCTTCTGAAAGTCTCGAGAACCACCCACTGTCCTCGTGGGTGAAGCAGCCCAGGAACATCACCCCGTGAACATATCACGTTGCTGGTCGGCGTCAGCGGGGTGGGATCTTGGGGGACTCGTGCAGGGCTCGCTCGTGCTCTCTCATCCCCACCCTGGCCCCGTAACGACTGCCGTACCGCACAGAGCCCCGCAGGGATCTTGTCTGCTGGTGCCTGCATGATGCTGACCAGGGTGGGAATCAGCCTCATCTGCATGGGGCCCTGGCAGGCTTCAATCTGGGACAGCTCCTTGAAGATGTCCTGAGCCAGCGAGGCGACCACAGGATCTGAAGTGGAGAAGGCAACATGAGTCCCCCCGCCTGGTGGTGTGTGTGTGCTTCTGCCTTAATGCTGCCTGTTGTTTGGCCCTAAGCGAAGTGAACAACTCCTGCTTTGATTTTTGTTTTTTAGGAATTTCATGTAATGTCTGAAACATTTATATTAACATATTTCCATACAAATAACCCAAAGAAAGTTTAGTATCAGTTGTTTTTTGTTTGTTTGTTTTTTTATACTGCAGGTTCTTTCTTTTTTTTTTTGCGGTACGCGGGCCTCTCACTGTTGTGGCCTCCCCCGCTGCGGAGCACAGGCTCTGGACGCACAGGCTCAGCGGCCATGGCTCACGGGCCCAGCCGCTCTGCAGCATGTGGGATCCTCCCGGACCGGGGCACGAACCCGCGTCCCCTGCATCGGCAGGCGGACTCTCAACCACTGCGCCACCAGGGAAGTCCCTGCAGGTTCTTATTAGTCATCAATTTTATACACATCAGTGTATACATGCCAATCCCAATCGCCCAATTCAGCACACCACCATCCCCACCCCACCACGGTTTCCCCCCCTTGGTGTCCATGTGTTTACAACTTCTGCTTTGATTACACATCACTGACCCGGGACCTACTGGGGCCACCTGAGTAACCTGAAAAGCAGGGAGAGCTGCTAGCTGTCTGGGAGATAGCATTTGTGTGACCTCACGAAGTCAGGGACGAGTCAGCAACAGCTATTCCTAAAGCAAAACCTGCCTCTTTTTCTGGGACAAATCTTTAACGTCTGTATTCTTGTGAAACTTGGACTGATTATGAAAACAAATGCTTAAGGGGAAAAAAACTCCCCACTGATACTTTGTTTAGAAGACATCAGTCTCAGAAACTGCCCAAGCACTGACTCTTCCCAGGTTCCCACGTGTCAACGAGGACCACGCACAAGAACTCCCAGAGCCACTGGAGGGCAAAAGGTAAAGCCTTCCAAAAGCAGAGGCTCGTGAAGAAATGCAACTTCAGCTCGACCTGCTTTGTGTAAGAAAAATATAAATGCCCTCCTCTATCTAGCATGAGACAACGTATGCAGTGTGCAGGGCACTAAGACACACGTTAAAAGTTCACTGCAGCGTTGACCGTAATAGAGAAAAACTGTAAACAACCCAGAGGTCCATGAACAGAACGGGTAAATAAATGATGATATTTATGGAATAAATACTATGTGACGGGCGGAGAGAACGAGGACTATCTAAGAGTGCAGTGTGGAACCCTCCTTAGGACACATTTTTAAGCGAAAAAACGAATTGAATAAAATGTTTTGTATGACATCACGTTACATAACCAACCCCCTTCCAAGCTTCAGTACTCGCTCTTCAGATACAAATGTCCTCAATATTTCTAATACACACTGACTGCAGAAAAACTTAAAATGCAGAAAAGTATTAAAGGAAAAAATACACCTGTAATTTCACCACCTAGAGATAACTACCCTTAACATTTTGATGCATTTTCTTCTGGTATTTTTTCTATATATATATCCACACATACATCCTTTTCTAAAGCAAAACCAAAACTTGGGGTTATATTCTACGCATTTTGGAAAACATTCTGTTCACTTACTACAAGGTGAGCGCTTCCTCATGGCTTTAACAATTCCTTTGAGGTTTGATTATTAACGGCTGCAAAGCATTCCATTTTATGGATATAATTAATTAACCTCTTACTATTTCCAAATTTTTGCTACTATAAAAAACATGCAACGAACACCTTATTCATAAACCTTTGCATATACCTCCTTCACTTTTCCTTTTCTAGTTATAGATCTAGGCCTCTTCTTTTAGGAAGCTTTTGGTTTAGTTGCTCAATTCCCTTACTTTACTGTCAAAGTCCTGGATTATACGTCTTGCCGGTTAGCTTTCTTCCCAGTTCTTACTAGACAGCAAGAGTTACGGGCATAGGTCCTCTGCTGTTTACTGCTGCTGGATCTATAGCACGACCCTACTCTCGCTAACTCGAAGTCACATTCTCTGCTTCTAATGCTGAGACCATCAGACCCAGGGAAGCGCTCACACGATCCCCCACCCCCCACCCCGGCCCCGCGCATACCGTTACTGTGCTTCAGGAAGATGGCGATGGTGAAGGGGCAGACTTTGCTCTCCATGCTTGCTGTGAACTCTGGGTCTACCGTACAAACGATGCACAGCGTCTCCATCACCAGGTTGAGGACCTCTGAGCTGAACTGAGCCGCCAGGTGAATTAAGCCATCCAGGATGCTGGGGAGGAAGGGCTGAAGCACGTGGGTGCTCTCTGAGACTTTCAGCTGGTCACAGTAACTGGAGAGCAAGAAATAAGCAAGAGCTACTCACCAGCGGGCCCCTCAATTCCTGGTTTTTCCAATCAGCATTATGTCTTGCAGCATTTACACGTGAAGCTTTATGAAGCTACTTGTAGAGCTCATTAAGTTTTTATATCTTTCTGTGGCTTTCTTTTTAGAACTCTCACCACCACCATTTCCATGTTTTCTAATTTCTGCTTTGGTCTTTGTTATTTCCTTTAAAATTTCTTTCATCCCTCTATTTCGTTTTGAAGCAAATCCCAGTCATGGTTACATCCAAATTATTAAGATATTAAGTCAAATGACTTACGATTCCTCAGACTACTGTCTTAGTCACATTTCTAAGACACATTTTATATATATGTATATATACATAATTTTCCAAACAGTGTTTTTAAATCTTTTCCAATACAATTGTTATTTAGTAGGAGACTATTTTTTAACTTCCATGTTATAAAAATTTTATACTTCTTGGAGTTTTTTTTGCATCCTAAGATGAGATCAATGTATATAAACATTTTACACATACTCAAAAAACTGGTGCACTATTTGCAGGGTTTAAAAGTTTGTTTTCAAAACAGAAACAGACTCACTGACTTAAGAGTACGAACTTATGGTTACGGGGCGGGTGGGAGGGATAGACTGGGAGTTTGGGACTGACATGTACACGTGGCTATATTTAAAATAGATAACCAACAACGACCTACTGTATAGCACAGGGAACTCTGCTCAATACCCTTTTAATAACCAAGATGGGAAAAGAATTTGAAAAAGAACAGATACATGTATATGTATAACTGAATCACTTTGCTGTACACCTGAAACCAACACAACATTGTTAATCAACTAGACTCCAACATAAAACAAACATTTTAAGATTTTAAAAAAGGAAGTTTCATTTCTTAAAAAAAGTTTGTTTTCTATACGTAGTTATACCTTATTCGCCTCTTATTCAATCAATAAATATTTACTGGGTGCTGCTTACCATGTCCAATGGGATATAATTATTAAAAATATATCATCTAAGTCTTTACTTTTGTTATTTTCAGAACAGTAAAGGGCTTCCCTGGTGGTGCAGTGGTTGGGAGTCCGCCTGCCGATGCAGGGGACACGGGTTCGTGCCCCGGTCCGGGAAGATCCCACATGCCGCGGAGCGGATAGGCCCATGGGCCATGGCCGCTGGGCCTGCACGTCCGGAGCCTGTGCTCCGCAACGGGAGAGGCCACAACAGTGAGAGGCCCACGTACCGCCAAAAAAAAAAAAATAATAAATAAAGTCAATAAAAAAGTCATTGTTTCTCTATGTTAAAAGAACCTACTGCAGAAACAAGGCCCTCCGACCCCAGGTTCTCAATAAATGGTTTTTCTTAACTTAATTTTTAAGTGTCTTACAACCATATTATTTGTATCTTCTGCTGGGTTCAAAGGTCCACAGTGACTAGTAAACCTGTGGGCTTAGATCTCACATTTGTTCAGATTCTTTGTTTTTTAGCCACACCTCGCAGCTTGCGGGATCTTGGCTCCCCAACCAGGGATCGAACCCAGGCCTTCGGCAGTGAAAGCGCCAAGTCCTAACCGCTGGATCTCATCTATAACATTTCTATGTTCAATGCCACCATGCTCTAATCTAACTCCTCCTTAAGAGCTGGCTCAGCATCTGGCCGTGGGCAGCTCTTGCCTCGTCAGACTAGGTTCTGCATCCATCTCCACTGGACTGAGTTGTGCCCTACCTCTTCCCGCTGCTTCTCATTCTAAGGGTTTACAGAGTCGGGGAGACCACAGAGTGCACCATCTGGCCAGATCATATGGGATCTTCTATGCCACGCTAAGGAGGTTAGACTTTATCCTGGAATCCAGTGTATATCAAAGCTTTTTTTTTTTTTTTTTACCAATTACTCCCAACACCTAATCTCTTCTTTGCCCTACCCCACAGTCTTCAGGGAAAACCGACATCCCAGGAAAATGCTCTATATTTATCCTGTGGCCTCACGGACCGTCCGGTATACTCCGACTTTCTTCTGGGTACCTGACCCAGAGTTCGAAGAGCACACAAGCAGAGCCATGAGTTTTAATTTTCAGGCACAAGAAGCTGAGCACACGAGCCAGGGCAGCCACGGTGGAGAGGGAGGAAGGGAGGAGAGGCGAAGGCACCAACCCTGGCAGAGAGCCGGCATCTCTGGGAGCTCAGGCCTCTACCTTTAGGTATAAGACCTAAAGGTACAAGATCTGTACTTTTACTATAACACGGACTACAGGTAGGGTAGGCCTGGAGGTGGTAAACAGTAAGCTCAGCAGTGGATGTGTTAGTTTTCAGGTGCTTGTAAGATACCCATCCTGGCATAGCCAGTAAGCACATACATTAATTTGGAGCTCTGGAGAAAGGCTGGCATAAATATGACTAGAGAAATGAGACACAAGTGGAAGTATCTGTCAATCAATATCTTGTTTCAGGAATGGTTTAAGGCAGTTTGCAATAATACATACACTACGACATGAATGAATATATTAAAACTGGGGTAAAAGAAAGAAAAGCCAAGGTGGTACGATGACCAGGAAAGGGCTGCTGGTGACATGAGAATGAGCGCTTCAATGACATGATGAGAATATAAGCCAGACTGAAACTGGCTGGAAAACAAGAGGGAAAGGGCCGAACGGAGAATCCCGGCTGTGAAAGAAAGCACAGCTAGCACCCCTTCACAGGAAGCTCTTAACCTGGGGTCCACTCTTCCACACATGATGTAAAATTTTATAAACAGGTATGAGTGTCCATTGTTTGCTGTGCACGTTCAAGGCTTTTGTCACTTTTCCAGAGACAGCTGTCACACCTTTCCAGAAAACCAATGCCCATGTAGTCAGAGAACTGAAAACTACTAAAAAAAAGAGAGTTCTCTTCACATATTTTTTCTGATTATTTAAGAGTAATATAAAATTTAAACAAACTTGAAATTTCTTTAAATTCTTCTCAGCTTTATTCCGGCGTGACCGACCTATAAAATGGTTAGCTATGCCCACTGCGGTGACTGGACGTACATGCGCAGCGTGAAAGATTTCCCACATCCAGGTCACTGACACAGTCCATCATCTCAGATTTACCTTCTTCTGGGTGAGAACAGTAATTTCTATGTCCCGTTACACGATGCAGTCACCATATCTCATGTTAGATCCTCAGCCCTTGGTCATCGGACCAACGACAGCGTGTACCCTTTCATCAATCTCTCCATGTTCCCCACCCTCGGCAACCACCTTCCTGCTCTCCTTTACAATGAGTTGGGTTGTTTTTTTTTTGTTTTGTTTTGTTTTTTTGCGGTACGCGGGCCTCTCACTGTTGTGGCCTCTCCCGCTGTGGAGCACAGGCTCCGGACGTGCAGGCTAAGCGGCCATGGCTCACGGGCCCAGCCGCTCCACGGTGTGTGGAATCCTCCCGGACCGGCGCACGAACCTGTGTCCCCTGCATCGGCAGGCGGACTCTCAACCACTGTGCCACCAGGGAAGCCCTCATTGTGGTTTTGAGGCACATTTTCCTGACAACTAGTGATGTTGAGCACTCTTTCATGTACCTGTTGGCTATCTGTATGTCTTCTTTAGAAAAAGTGTCTATTCAAGTCCTCTGCCATTTTTTAAAATCAGATTATTTGCTATTGAGTTGTATGGGTTTTTCATATATTTTGCATATTAACTGCTTATCAGATAAATGGTTTGCAAATATTTTCTCCCATTCAGTAGGCTGCCTTTTCATTTGGATGATGGTTTCCTTTTCTGTGCTTTTTTAGTTTGACGTAGTCCCACTTGTTTACTTTTGCTTTTGTTGCCAAATACAAAAAATCATTGCCAAGACAAATGTCAAGGAGTTTAACTTTTATGTTTTCCTCCAGGAGTCTTATGGTTTCAGGTCTTAGGTTCAAGTCTTTAACTGATTTTGAGTTTACCTAAGTATATGGTGTAAGATAAGGGTCCAGTTTTCCGAACACCATTTATTGAAGAGACTGTCCTTCCCCCACTGTATATTCTTGGCTCCTCTGTCATAAAATAATTGACCATGTAAGTGTGGGTTTATAGCTGGGCTCTCTGTTCTGCTCCACCGATCTCTGTGTCTGTTTTTATGCCAATACCACACTGTCTTTTGATTACTGTAGCTTTGTAATATAGTTTAAAATCAGGAAGTGTGATGCCTCCAGCTTTGTTTTTCTTTCTCAAGATTGCTTTGGCTATTCAGGGTCTCTTGTGATTCCACACAAATGTTAGAATTGTTTGTTCTTCTATGAAAAATGCCACTGGAATTTTGATGGGGTTGCACTGAATCTGTACATTGCTTTGGGAAGTTTGGACATCTGAAAAATATTCATTATTCCAATCCCTGAATAGGAAACATCTTTCTATTTGTGTCTTCTTCAACCTTTCCTCAATGTCTTACAGTTTTCTGTGTATAGATCTTTCACCATCTTGGTTAAACTTATGCTTAGGCATTTTATTGTTTTTGATGCAACTGTACAGGAGATTGTTTTTTTTTCTTTTTGCAGTACGCAGGCCTCTCACTGTGTGGCCTCTCCCGTTGCGGAGCACAGGCTCCGGACGCATAGGCTCAGCAGCCATGGCTCACAGGCCCAGCCGCTCCGCAGCATGTGGGATCTTCCTGGACCAGGGCACGAACCCGCATCCCCTGCATCGGCAGGCGGACTCTCAACCACTTGCGCCACCAGGGAAGCCCAGGAGATTTTTAAATTTCTCTTTGTGATAGTTCATTATTTCTTCTTTTCTTTTCTAATTGCTCTGGCTGGGACTTCCAGTACTGTGTTGAATAGGAGTGGTGAGAGTGGGTACCCTTACCTCGTTCATCTTAGAGAAAAAGCTTTCAGCCTTTCACTGTTGAATATGATGTTAGCTGAGGGTGTTGTCATATATGGCCTTTGTTGTGTTGGGATGTGTTCCTTCTATACACTTTTTTCAAAGTTTTTGTCATGAATGAGTACTGAATTTTGTCAAATGCTTTTTCTGCATCTATTAAGATATTCATGTGATTTTTTATTTCTCATTCTATTAATTGGTGTATGACATTTATCGATTTATGGTATGTTGAACCATCCTTGCATCCCAGGGATAGATCCCACTTGATCGTGGTTTGTGATCCTTTTACTGCGTTGTTGAATTCAGTTTGCTAGTACTGTGTTGAGAATCTCTGCATCTATATTCATCAGGCATACTGGCCTGTCGTTTTCTTTTCCTGTAGTGTCCTTGTATGGCTTTGTTATCAGGAAATGCCGGTCTAGTAAAACGAGTTTGGAAATGTTCCCTCCTCTTCAATTTTTTGGAAAGAGTTTGAGAAGGAATGGTATTAATTCTTTAAATGTTTGTAGAACTTACCAGTGAAACCATCTGGTCCTGGGCTTTTCTCTTATGGGAGGTTTTTGATTACTGACTCACTCTCCTTGTTAGTTATTGGTCTGTTCAGATTTTCAATTTCTTTATGATTCAGTTTTGTTAGGCTGTATGTTTCTAGGAATTTATGCATTTCTTTTAGGTTATCCAATTTGTTGGTATACACCTGTTCACAGTCGTCTCTTATGAACCTTTGTCTTTCTGTGTTATCAGTTGTAAAGTCTCCCCTTTCATTTCTGATTCTGTACTTGAGTCTTCTCTCTCTTCTTTTTAGTCTAGCTAAAGTCTGTCAATTTTGTTTATCTTTTCAAAATACCAGCTCTTAGTCTCACTAAATCTTTCTAATATTTTTCTGCTCTTTGTTTTATTTATTGCTGCTCTCATCTTCCTACTGCCACCTTTGGGCTTAGTTTGTTCTCTAATTCCTGAGGTATAAAGTTAGGTTGTTTGAGATCTTTCTTTTTTCTTAATGTAGGTGTTTTTATCTATAAAATTCCTTCTTAAAACTCCTTTTGCTACATCCCATAAGTTTTGGTATTTGTATTTTCCATTTTCGTGTGTTTTAGAATATCTTTATTATTTTTTAAAAATTAATTTATCATTTATTCATTTATTTTTGGCTGCATTGGGTCTTCATTGCTGCGCGTGGCCTTTCTCTAGTTGCGGTGAGTGGGGGCTACTCTTCATTGCAGTGTGTGGGCTTCTCATTGCGGTGGCTTCTCTTGTTGTGGAGCACAGGCTCTAGGCGCACAGGCTTCAGTAGTTGTGGCACGCGGGCTCTAGAGCACAGGTTCAGTAGTTGTGGCTCACAGGCCTAGGTGCTCTGCAGCTTGTGGGATCTTCCCAGACCAGGGCTCGAACCCGTGTCCCCTGCATTGGCAGGCAGATTCTTAACCGCTGCGCCCCCAGGGAAGTCCCTCAGAATATTCTTAGATCTCTCTTTTGAGTTCTTTGATCCACGAGTTGTTTAGAAGTGTGTTGTTTAATTTCCATATATTTGTGATTTTTCCAGTTTTCCTACTGTAATTGATTTCTAGTTTCATCTCAATGTGATCAGAAGAGATACTTGGTATTATTTTAATCTTAAATTCACTAAAACCTGCTTCATGACTTATCCTGGAGAATGCTCCATGCATGCTTGGGAAGGATGTATGTTCTGCTGCTGTTGGATGGAATGTTCTGTATGTCTGTTGGGTCCATTTGGTTGAAAGTATAGTTTAAGTCCAATGTTTCCCTACTGATTTTCTGTTTGGATAAGCATATCCATTGTTGAGGGTGGGGTATAAATCTCCTGCTATTATTGTACTGTTGTCTATTTCTGCTCTCAGATATTGATATTTGCTTAATATATTTACGTGCTCTGATGGCAGGTGCACGTATATTTATAATTGTTGTATCTTCCTGATGAATTAACCCCCTTATCATATAATGACCTTTGTTTCTTGTTACAGCTTTCAAATTAAAGTCTACTTTGATAAAAGTATAGACACCCTCACTCTCTTTTGGTCTCTACTTACACGGAATATCTTTTTCCATCCCTTTACTTTGCGCCTATGTGTGTACTAAAACCTAGAGTCTCTTTTAGGCAGCATATAGTTGGGTCTTCTTTTTCAATCCATTCAGCTACTTTGACTTTTTTTTTTTTTTTTTGCCGTATGTGGGCCTCTCACTGCTGCGGCCTCTCCCATTGTGGAGCACAGGCTCCGGACGAGCAGGCTCAACGGCCATGGCTCACGGGCCCAGCCGCTCCACGGCATGTGGGATCCTCCCAGACCGGGGCACGAACCCGTATCCCCTGCATCGGCAGGCGGACTCTCAACCACTGCGCCACCAGGGAAGCCCCTACTTTGACTTTTAATTGGAGAATTTAATCCATTTAAAGTAAGTTTTGATAAGTAAGCCCATTTTATTAACTGTTTTCTGGCTCTCCTGTAGTCCCCTGTTCCCCCGACCTTTCTCTCTGGCTGTCTTCCTTCCTGAATGGTGATCCTCCGTGGTGGAATGCTTTGACTCCTTTCTCTTTCTCTTTTGTGCGTCTATCAGATTTTTGCTTTGTGGCTACCGTAAGACATTTTATAGATATGATAGTCTATTTCACACTGACAACTTAACTTTGACTGCATACAAAAATTCTACCCCTTTATTCCCTTCCTTTAATGTTTCTGATGTCACGATTTAACTCCTTTTACACTGTGTATTCGTAATAATAATCATAAAGTATTTAGCTAGTTATTTTTAACACTTTCATCCTTTAACCTTTATACTAGAGTTAGGTAGTTAACACACCACCATATTACAGTATCAGAGTATTCCAAATCGATTACATACTTACCTGTACCAGTGCGTTATGTACGTTCACACTATTAATTAGCATCCTTTCATTTCAGCTTGAAGAACTCCTCTTGGCATTTCTTGTAAGGCAGGTCTAGTGGTGAAGAACCCCTTCAGCTTTGTTGTCTGGGAAAGTCTTTATCTTGTCTTCAGTTCTGAAGGACAACCTTCCTAGCTAAAGCACTCTTGGTTGGCAGTTTTTTCTTTCAGCACCTAGAATATATCACCCCACCGCCTCCTGGCCGGCAAAGTTTCTGCTGAGAAATCTGTTGCTAGCCTTATGGGAGTTCCCTTGTATGAGAGAAGAGTTTTTTCCTCTTTTTGCTGCTTTGAAAATTCCCTCTTTGTCTTTGATTTTAGATAGTTTTTACTACATTTTGTCTTGGAGAAGATCACCCTGGATTGAAATTTGGGGGGTGATATATTAGCTTTATAAGTAGGAGGTACAAATCTCTCCTCAGATTTGGAAAGTTCTCAGACATTATTTCTTTAAAAAGCTTTTTGCCCCTTCTCCCTCTCTTCTCCTGGGACTCTAATAATTTGTAGACTGCTTCTCCTAAAGATATCCCATAGTTCACATTTTCTTCCTTCTTTTTCATTCTTTATTCTCTATCCTCCTCTGACTGGATAATTTTGAAGGTTCCGCCTTCTATTTCACAGGCTTTTTCTTCTGCCTGATCCATTCTGCTACTGATGCTCTCTACTGCGTTTTCCATTTCATTCTCTGTATCCTTCAGCTCCAGAATTTCTTTCTTTCTTTTTTGTGATTTCTCTCTTTGCTGAACTTCTCGTTTCATCTGTGAGTTGTTTTTCTGATTTCATGGAACTGTCTTTCTGTGTTTTCTTGTAGCTCACTGAGCTCCTTAAAATGGCTGTGTTGAAATTCTTTATCAGATAAATCACAGATCTCCACGCCTTAGGGGCTGGTTATTGGAACATTATTGTGTTTCTTTTGTGATATCATGCTTCCTTGGTTTTTCACGATCCTTTATGTCTTGCACTGCTGCCTGCACATCTGAAGCAGCAGTCACCTCCTCCGGGCTTTACTGACTGACCTCTTCCAAGTGTCCAATCTTGGATTTTTTTGCTCCAGTGGTGTGCTAGAACTTCTCCACTGGGCTTTGGACTTCGACAAAGGCTCTCTCATCTGTGGGTAACTGTCTCAGTCAGTGTTCTCCAGGAGGTCCTGGGCCACGTCAAGATCCACAGCTGGGACTGAGGTCTGTGTTTCTATTATCTGACATACAGACATACAGGGTGAGATTCCCCCTGGGTCCCTTGGTGTACAGTGCCGATGACAGAACCAAAGCCAAATGGGGCTGTAGCCGGGACTATGGTCGGCAAGTCAGTGGCTGGGATGTGGGCTTGTCTTCTCAAGACAGCTCTCCTTGTGCTCAGATGGCACTGAGTTTGACAACCTCCTCGCTTGGACAGATGCCAAATTGTTGTTGTGGGAGGGATAAGAGCGAGGGACATCTTATTCAGACATCTTGCCGACACGCCCCCCCGCTCCCCCCGCCCCCAGCAATGCCTTCTAAAGACATATAGTAATGCCAGCACCTCAATCTCTGCTTCAAAAGGTAAGGAGGTGGCGCAGGCAGGTGGAAGGTGAACTCTGCGTTTTTAGGGTTTCAAGCAATTCTTAGGATTCAACTGAGACTCTGTAAGTTTGGACTTGAAAATACTCCTGAAAACATCAATACTCCCTGTGGTCTGAGAAGGAATATAAATAAAGGACTAATAGAGCCACTAGTACATTAGCTGTGAGAAAGAGAGGTAAAATTGGGAAAAACAAGCAGTGTTTCCAGGCTACATTATCACAAATTTGGTTTCCAATACAGAGGCAATCAATCAACCACATGATGCTAAGCCTGCTTCTATGACCCGCTGCTGTGCGACCCTAGGCAAGTTAGTTATCTCTCGGAGCCTCAGGTTCTGCTTCTCTGTAAGACAGGGAGTTGGTCTAGATGATTCCAGAGCTGGAGTGAATTGAAAAGGAACGAGGAGTAAAAGGAAACAGGATGTATCCGGGACTCACAGAAGCCATGTTTCTGGTATGGTTTCTTTCCCTGTCCTTCCAACATCCATTCTGCAGGAGACCTTCAGAAATTTCCAAGTAACATAATCCACTGGACAACTGCTGTTTGGGACTTCTACCCTGAGCAACTTCCTCTTAAAACAGTTTCCGTTGTCCTAAGGTGGCGTACTCACCCCCAGATGGCTCTCACTGCAGAAATTCGAACTGATGGGGGCTGTGTCTCATGAAGACCACTAACTGTTGCCTGAAGAAACTGCTGGATCAATTCAGGGGACATAGCAACAGTGAACCGACTGGCAGCCCAAAGGGCCCGGCCCAAGAGGAAAGGAGACACTGGGAGGAAGAGAGAGCAGTTAGAGGCTGGACAATACAAGTTTCTGCTACTGCCCACCCTCCTCCCCACCACTATTCCTCAGTTTGTTGCAGTAACTGGATACCACCTAACATACCTAACGTAATGGAGAGAAAAAGCATGATCTTGAAAGATAAAAGCAAACGTATGACCTATGGCACAGAATCATTTCCCTAGTTTCACCTTTCACTATTTGCAAAGTACATTTTGAATATTCCTAGACTACAAAGCCCCCCACCCTTGTTCCCACCACAGCTCTCACCACCCCTTACCGCACTGCTAGTCAGTCCTCTAGATGTCTTCTCCACTGCCGGTTTTTTCCTACTCTTGGACCACTATTGGAATACTGTAAATTATAGCTCTGTCATGCTTTTATTTAAAATGTCAGCAAATTCCAGAGTCTACCAAATAAAGCCCATCTAAATTCGCACGGCATTCAAGGTCCCCTCAGATCAGTGACTCTAGCATTACCTCTCATTTCCCTTTGTGCCGTCCAAACTCAGGCACACACCCCTCCCTAGGAAGTCAACATCTTACTTTGCCATTTCTGTGCTTCGTTTATAAGCCAACACACTCACCTCTCCTTGCATTATCTAACCGATCTCTTGGGCTGAAGTAATCCTAACTATCTCTGCCACTTTAAGCCCATGTCTTTAGCTTTCTAACATGATACAAATGTATGTTTTGATATTCTAGGCACTGGTGTAAGGATTACTACCCCTTGCCTATTATAAGATGCTTGAGGACAGAGACTATACTTATTCAGTTGTCATAGGGCTTAACTTAGTTATCTGTACAATAAACATTTAGTTGATGGGACCTATTCAACAGAAGCTAACAAACGGTGCCAAATAATTACATACTAACTCATAAAATGGAGAGTACCATCCAGGAACGCCTGGAAGTCCCAAAAGTTAAAACTGTTTTCATAGCAATACCAAGACATTATTTGTCTTTTTTCATTCTCATTCCTTCTCGAGTATACGGTGGAACTTTCCAGAGGTTACTGATGTGTGACACCATGGCCCTGACAGCTAATGGAACATATGCTTGCATGTCTTATATTTTGAAAGCTTCTCAGTTTTAATTTCCAATATGTTAAATACTGCTACATGTGACTCACAAAAAAATCTCCTTGGGATCACTGATAATTTTTTAAAGTGTAAAGGGGTCCTGAGACCAAAAAGTTTGAGAATGGCTTGTACAGAAAAGCTTTGCTAGGGCAAGTTCTACAAAAAAATATGCTGGTGAGTTTGAGAAATTCCAACACTGTCATTCAACACGTGATTACACTATATCCATTAGGTGCCAGGCACTGTGGGGCAAAAGGATATATTAGACATGGCTTGTACTCAAATATCTTACATTCTAGTCGGAGAAAGAAAACATATTTGTCAACCACAACATAATGCAGCATGTGGTAAATGCAGAATAAATAGGAACGTGCTCAGTGGGTCCTGAGCTCTGGATGCTCAACCATTTTAATTCTGTGACTCAGGCCTGAGATGCCCTATAACAGCTGGCCTAAGGAGAGGTGGAGAACATTTTCCAATGGCTTAAGCTACCCAGAGGGCATCCTATGGAGAGGAAGCAGTGAGTGGACTGACATGGCATCGACGACGCAGGGGTCCCACGACTTAAGTACTCAAGGAGGAAGCAGAGACAGCACTGGGGGCTCTGAGGGTGAGAACGAGGCACGGAGATCGTCACACAGAGACAACGCCGCCTCTCAGCCGCTGCCCTGCGCTGCTGAGAAGTCGGGCTCATGTAGTCGAGGCTACTTTTTCAGGCTAGTAGCGAACGTGGACATGGGAACGGACACTATAATCACGTAGACAGAAGAGCTTGAGAAAACTGACAAGCAGCACACAGAAAGGATGAACCACACACAGGCTGCCTGAGGGCGTGGGGACTTTGCAACGACAGAGCTTGCACCAGAGTTCTCAAGGCAGAGCAGCCAAATCTGCACTCTATTCAGCCGCCAGAAAACATCCGGGACTTGAGCGCTGATTGGGAGAACAGTGTGAGAGAACAGCATGAAGAACTATGAACGAGGCAATCCTAGTCTCTCAGTTGGTGAAGCTTGAGTCAAGGTCTCTGGGCAGTTCAGAGGTTCAGACGAGCTCAAGCTTTAGGGTGGAAGAAGAATGGTCACCCCGAGGTTTACCTGCCTGTGAACAGAACTGAGCTGATGGTGGGACTGAGCACGGTGCTGAAACCTACCTGAGAGGTTGAGGTCCGCGAGGACGACATTGGTCAGGAAGCCATGCATGTCGAAGGGGATCCTGCCACTCTTCACGCTGTCGGTGACGATGGACTTCACCGAGCCGAGGGCCAACATGCACGCCTCATGGATCTTCCACCTGCCAAAGGGACACCACAGCCTGGTCACACACACCCGCGGTCAAAGCGACAGACGCTTGAGGGAAGCCAACTCAGGAAAGGGCGTTTCAGCACAGCCTGACCCCAAAGTGCATTGAGCTGCTCTTCTGATCTAAACCTTTAACTGAAAACAGTGTAATTTAATAATAACAGGTTTTTCTAATTAAAGACAAAGCGAAAGTCCTTCCTTTCAAACCTTTTTGAAATGGGGTAAAAGCATCTTAGCCAGCTGTTTTAAGGAGGGGAAGAACTGCTTTAAAACAGATAACGCAAAGCAAGGACGCGCCTGCCTCCGACCTGATGCCCAGAGCACGTCCCTCAGTGGGACACCCGCCGCCCACTCTCACCAATGTCCGGTGCCGCCATTCTTGGTGTGCTCAGCTTCCTGTAAATGCCGAGTTGCTGCGGCGGCCAGGGCTGCTGCGCTCTCATTCTGGAAATCAGTGGCCACAGCCTGGTGGGAGGAGAGGCGCTAACAAATGTTTCTGTGCAAATTGAACTGCAAGCTTCACTGCACGCTGAATGGTTCCAACGCCTTCACATACGCACGGCTGAGCCCAATTAGGTACATCCAAAATACAGCCCCTAATTGTATTAAGGTCTCTACGTTAAAGTAGTATCCACATTTCCGCAGGGCCCAAGCACTGTGAAGCTCACAAAATGTAGCCGAAGCTCCCTTTGGCTACATTCAGCAGAGCCTAAGTGGTCAATGAGAGATTCAGCTTTGGATGGCAGGGGACAAGATATTTATTCTCTGGGAGCCTGACTGTGGAAATACAAGGCTAATCTACTAGCTGAAACTTGGTGTGGTCTTTCCTAGGTGCCTTAGAAACACCGCAGGGTAACAAGGAGTGCTCGCCAACACTGAGACAATGAGAACAAGCCTCGCACCTGACAGGCGGCAGGCGGCAGCTTCTTTGTAGACTCTCCGCCTAGGGACAGTGCTGTGCTCCAGCCGGCGCCAAGGAAGCATGAGCGGCCATCCGGGTGCCCAGCCTCTCAGCAATCTAAGCTTTTTAACTTGCCAGCCTCTAGTCTGTGCTACAGCTTCTTGCTGAAGAGTTACCTAAACTGAGAAGTTCCCGGTTCAAGCACCTTACTCATTAGAACACTATCCTCTGCACAATTCTTACACCTAATATCTACACGTAAATCAGAACCGGGAGCAGTGACTTTGGAACTCCGGACTCTCAGACGTCACTCGAGATGCTCTTCTTATCCCCCAAAAGTCTACGACAAAGTCACCCAACAACACTGCTCAGCTTGGGTTAGAGATCTAGAAAGAAGAGGAACGGCTCAGGACCATCTGGCTGAAGTGTCAAGGTGGCCCTCTTACCAGCAACAAGTCTTGGGCTGCGATCCTGACAGTATAGGAGAAGGTGTCATCATCTTCATCCTCCACAAACTGCTGGGGGTTGGCTGTCCACACTTTGATCTGAAAGGACGAGGACGTCAGGTCTCCCTGAGGCTCCCATCTGCTCCGTATATTCCCTTTTTTCATCCACACACTGGAATGGTTCAGCCTCTTGCTTTCATCTTGAACAGAATGCTATTCTTTTGATGCAGAGAAGCGAACCCTTTAACAAGCTGAGCAGCAAAGGCCGCTGCAGAAGGTGGCTGACTGCTGGCCCCTCCTACTGTAGTTGGCTGTTACCCCCAAATACGTCAGCTTGCCGAGTCTAGTAGGTCTGACGGGTATTTAATGGAAAACCATGTCCATCCTTGTGTTGTTCACACGAGACAGGCATTATCATATTTTTTAATGCTCTTTTTTGGTCTAAGCGTTCACCAACCAGGCTAATGATCTGAACTCTATTATATCTCACTATTTATAGAGAAAGGTAGGCTCTTCTGGACATCTGGGCCTTTGGTTGGCGGTCCTATAGATGTAAAAGTATTAGTACTCTGAAAGCCCAATTACCTAGTACAGGAGTTGATAAAACCCCAACACCCAGGGATTCGGCAACATAATGACATCAAAGCTTTCTAGAACCTCCCATGAAGTTACTCCTCAGGTGTCTATTCTTCAGAATCAGCTGGTCGCCTGACTTAGACCCCACATGCAGGCTGCACTCTCTGAATGCAAGCCGGTCACTGTCTCCCATACGTTGTTACCTGCTCCTCGGTGATCTGCATGTATAGGATGAGATAGTAAATCAACTCAGGCAAGGCCTTCTTGACAGTGCTTTTGAACTTGCTATTTTCTAGGAGAGCATGGACAAATTCAAAAATGCTAAAGACGAGATTTTCAAAGCCCAGGACTTCACCTACAGGAAACACACAAGAGAAGCTTTGAATGACAAGAAAGCCAAAGGAAAGCACAGACGCTGGAAAGGAATTACATCATCTCTGTAAGTTGATGAACAGTTAAAGCACTTGCTAATTATTATTCTCCAGGGAATGGAAGAAGGGGCTGAGGAGTCAAAGAAAGGAACTGGAGGCTATTAAGTACTCTTTGGTTTTTCAGGTAAAAGAATCAGGGAATCCCCTGGTGGTCCAGTGGTTAGGACTCAGCGCTTTCACTGCTGAAGGCGTGGGTTCAGTCCCTGGTCAGGGAACTAAGATCCCAAAAGCCGTGCAGCAAGGCACATCCCCCTCCCCCCCCCCAAAAAAAGAATCAGAAACACTGAACATATTTTCCACTCAGAAATTCTACAATTTCACGAGACTTACGCAAATGCCTATGAGGAACAGATCAATGATTTTCAACTTCTCATTTCCCCACATCTAATACACTTCGAGGAAAGTCGGTGAGAACACTCTCTTGAGAGCGTGAAGCCTCTAAGTCCCTGCCTCTGTTCTGCCTTTCCCTGGCTCCCCTTCCCACTAGGTGGTACGCTTGCTGAGATGAGACACGCCACATACCATCAGAATCCACAGCATCTTCTACTTCCTCTGTGTCATTTACTTCCGTCCTCACATAAGTGCAATGCAGAGTAAAGAAACAGAATGCGCAGCCTGCTTTAGACATACTCTACAGGGGAATGCTGTGCACTCCAACACTAGGAGCAGACGTTTTAAGAAAGCGGAACCACATGAACGTTAAAACCCAAGGCTAGATTCCCAACTAAGGGGGTGGCAGGTCCCTTCAACCTTCTGGAAAGGATATAAAGCTGCACTTTCAGTTAGGGTGTTCCAAACAATAGGCAGAATTTGCTGCATGGAGGACACCATGTGCTTTGGGAAGTTTTTCACCAGGGCTGTCACTGCCTGAGAAGTTAAAGAGAAAAAACCCCAAGAGTTACAGGTGACATGGGAGAAAAATCACTGATTTCAGAGCACTCTTCAAACCCCCAGCATCTCCATCGCAGTAAATGTTTACCTTCAGGACTTCCATCTTAAACCCGCTGTCAGACGTGGGGCCGTCTGGTATCTGGAGGGCCTGGACGAAGGCCTCTGTGAACTGCTGCACCACAGGGAAGATCAGGACTTTGGCGGCACCCTGGCGGCAGAAACCAAAGTCAGTACTGGACGTAGCCGGAATCAGTGGCTCAGTGCGTGCACCAAACACCGAGACCCGCGCTGCCTCCAGACCCCTTCGGGCTCGGGCCTCCATCAGAAGGGCATGGCCCCAAGGTCCCTGGAGGTGGCCCCTAGGTCTGCTGTGTCCTTATCCAACACTGGCAGCTCCCTGCCAGGAGCTTCTTCAAAGCTATCACGTAAGACCAGCTTCTCAATCCCAGGGGCTGGTATTTTTCAGCTGGTCTGGCTCCACATGGGAGAGAAAAGAGCAGAGAAGTTCTGGGTGACGACTAGCGTGAAAAAGATGGAGGAGGCGTTAGAAAAAACAAGGCTCAGACGAGAGGAAACTAAGCTACACGCATGTGAGGAACTTAACCAGGACGTTCACTGCATCCACAACACGGTGAGTGTCCGTCCTGGCACTGCTGTGCTGAAGACCTCTAGGCAGGCCGTCCATTACCAACCTCAAGGCTCACTCACCTTCTCCAGCTCCTCCATGTTACAGATCATATGGGCACAAGTGGTAAAAATCTCCACGGCTCGGGAACGGGTTCGAATACCATACACCTGGAAACAAGTTACAGTGCAGCCATGAGACTGGCGGGTGTGCGTTCGTGCGTGCGTGCATGCGCGCGCGCGCGTGTGTATGATTAAACTGTGACTACTCAATCCTGACATGGGACTGGGTCCCCTACAGAGACAGGAAATGTCAATCACTCATGTCCAGGAGACAGACTTCTTCTGTAATCCAGAGAACGGAAGGCAGCACGACGTTAGAACTTATTAGAATCAGCCTTACATATAGGCCTCTGTGGGTTAATCTGACAAAAACATGAAGTCGGGTACAACCTGAAATCCCAACACGGTCAACGTATTTCTTTCAAAACACAGCCCTTGGCTGGGGCCGGAGAGGAGTAGGGAGGTTAACCAAACGCATACAGAGTAAAGTAAGGGCTTATGGGGCACAGCGCAGGGATAGAATCGTTTCCCAGTACGCGGCTGAGGCGAGCATGCTCGGGTGGGCTGCCCCGTGAGAGGCCAAGGCAGCACCAAGATGGCAGCAGCAAGGCGGCAGCAGCAAGGCGTCAGCGCCAAGGCATCAGCACCAAGGCAGCAGCAGCAAGGCGTCGGCACCAAGGCGGCAGCGCCAAGGCGTCGGCACCAAGGCGGCAGCGCCAAGGCGTCGGCACCAAGGCGGCAGCGCCAAGGCGTCGGCACCAAGGCGGCGGCGCCAAGGCGTCGGCGCCAAGGCGGCGGCACCAAGGCGGCAGTGCCAAGGCGGCAGCACCAAGGTGTCAGCGCCAAGGTGGCGGGCTGCGGTGTGAGGGCAGACTGCAGCTGCTTCACGCTCGCATCACAGGCTCGCCCTCGCAGGTACAAGCGAAGACCCAAGTATCATCCCAGCTCAGCCTCTGTCAGTTCTTGTCTTCAGGTCTGGGCACCGGCAGCCAACACAGCGGGCGCCCCGAGCGGGGGCGGCCGGCCAGAGCCCGAGTAGTTCCGCCTGCCGGACGGCACAGCTGAGACTCGTACCTCGGCCATGGTGAAGATCTTGTACATCTCTGGGAGAATGACAGGAGCAACGAGCGGCATCTGGGTGTCTGTGACTTCTCGAGTGAACTCTACAGAGAAGAAAGGCCGCTTTACAAAGACACTCCGTGTGAAGACTGCCGAGCTGCTTGTAGGCGGCACACTGGGGAAGACGCCGGGTGGGACACTTAGCCTGGCGCACGGAAGCAGTGGCAGTTATTGGTTAGAAGGGAAAGGGAGCGCAGAGACAAAGGACAATACCCGAGAGTAGGAAAGAAAACCTGCAAGCAACGGAACTGTGTAAAAATCCTCGTGAGGTTGCCTTAGGAAAATTCGGAATTAATCTAGTTTGTGCCCACTGTCACCATCCAGGTGCACCTTTGTTCCACTTTCAATACCCTGCCCAAGAAGCTCTTCTGACGCACACGGTAAAGTCTGTGCAGACTTACCTGGCTCGAGCTCCACCCTGCAGATGGGGACGATGTCTACTGACCTAGAGGTCAGGCCACTGCTCAGAGGAAGACAAGGGGGTTTATACCCCGTGAAGGCGGGTGAAGAGCACCCTGGCCGCGGAGTGAGACTTGAGGGAGGCGAGGCAATGTGGGTCCTAGCTTTCCCTTCGCTTCCAAAACCTCACAAGGCACCGAGACAGCAAGCAGGGCTCTGGACTGTGTCGCTGAGCGTGGAATACAAGCCCTCGAGTCCCAGTGTCCTCTCATTTATCTGCTGCTTAACCAACCACATTCATTACTCTCATGATCACTCTTGATAGCCTCAATTTATCAACACTTTACAAGCTTAAGTCCAACGTAAGTTTTCTGAAGTCACTCATCAGGTCAGAGAAAGCATGGGATGCCAGCGACATCAGTCTCCAAGGCTCTTCGAGAGCGAAGACAAAGCTGAGGCTCACGGATCACTCATTTCAAGCCTGGCGGCTGTATCTGCATTTCCTTCACCCATCAGCCTTAGCTGCATTGAGAAACAGCTAAGTATTACGTAATGGGAAGCCTTATTACATTCGAGAGACTGGGACAGCACCTTCAACAGCCCTGACGAGAGTCAGACCCGCTCTGCTGCCGGGCTCCTGCCCCCACACCGGTGCCCTGCTCCCCGCACGCACACGGGCTGCAGCTGCCGGAGCGCGGCCCAGCCTCACGTGAAGGTGTGTGGAGCAGCTATTTGGGAGTGGAGGCTGGCAGCGACCCACCTGCAAAAGCACACACACTTCCTCTAGCTCTTTCCTTGAGGCTGATAGAAAGGTCATCTCACTGAGCAATGATTTCCTTAGTCAAGCACAACAAGGGCTCTTGAGCAAAAGCCAACTGTATATACAAACGTACAACTATTCTTTTCTCCAGGTTTGTAAAAAAGAAGCTGAACTTTGTGTTGGAAGACTGGAAGGGAATAGGCTTCCTTTCCTTAGTATAAACTAGGTCTGTTAATTGATATTTTGGCATCATGAGCTTGTAAGTAAAGAATCCTAGAAGGCTCATTCCATGGAGAGGGGTAGAAGTCACCTGAATAATACGCTGTACAAGAGAAACAAGGGCGATAAGCGGGGCAGGGAACATCTGAGCAAGGAGCATTTGACCCTTTCAGTAGATCAGCTCTATGCCCTGGGCACCCGTCACATGTAATCAATAAAAATACACCGCGTGGTGCAAAAAGGCAGCTGGGGCACGGGAAGAGGGGGTTTGAAACAAAAGGAGAGGGGTGATTTGCTTCTGGACATGGAACTAGTATTATCTACTATCAATATTAGATGGACTAGTAAAATTGGGACCAAATGCCAAGTTCAGTAAACTGACTGACACTCAGAAAAGGTTGTAACGGCATTCC